CTAGCGGATCAATTTCTTAGCAGTCGGAAAAAGTTGTTCATTCTTAATTTGAGCATTATGAGAAACTTATTGTGGGCAATTTAGGAAAAGAATGGTAAAAAAAAAGGTCCGTGCGTAAAGCGCACCCAGAAAAATGAAAGTTGTAGGAACAGTCTCATAGTTCTTTCAGGGATAACCATAAAATATGGTTGGTTTCCGCCAGTGGTGGAAACCGTATTTTTGGTTGATACCCCTCTGTGCTGTTGTTGCCTAAACCATATATTATGGTTGTCCCTGCAATAACTATACGCTGGTTGCTAGAACTCTTCATTTTTCTGGGTGTTGAGAGGCGCTATTTTTGTTTTGCAAAACATGTCCGGCTCGCAATATCAAGACCCGTCTAGTTATGTTTTGTACATAACCGTAGCACCTCTCTGTCAATCACAGATCGCGTTACGCACGGACACCCGTCTCTGGAATTGCCCACGTTGCATTGAATACTGCAAGAGGCTCTTGGTATTTCAAATCTAAAGTCTTTCGCACCAATAATCGCCACTGCAAATGCGTGGTACTGAAAAATCGTGCCTCACCATTTCACATGATTCCCACTACCCTCTACGTCGCCCTACCCCAAACAAACACACCTACACATACACAAACGAACGCGCACACGCACACACACACAAGGGGACCACCGCTAATGTATCAGGGTTTGAGACGTGACATGAAGTAAACCGTGCGCATGGATGTGGGCGTCGCAGAGGACACGGGGACGCCATCGCCATGGGCCTTTTCCCTAGCACAGTCAAACTGATCGATGGCCGTTTCGCGACACCTGATTTTCGGCAGAGTAGCCGGCCGCGTGTAGCAAGCGCATTGCCTGTTGGGATTTTGATCACGTCCTATCTTCCACTACGCGGGGAGGCTAGTGGCGCCGGCTCCCCCTAGCTCCCCTTCCTAAAAAATCTCGGAAAATGGCTCCGTTATTTACGGGGAAGTCCCAGGACAGCCCCGGCCTCGCACGCCCGATTTATGGAACGTATTGGGGAGTCACACCTGAAGAAGGATGGGGTAAAAAAAACAGTGAAAAAGAAATTGTTGAACTACGTACTGCTCAGTACATATTGCACACTCTAAAAATATTTGGAGGAAAAAGCCTGCACTGCAAAAAATTATGACAGGAAAACTACATATCGTCCTGCTAATTATTTTCCAGGAACTTCTGTTATTCGAATAACAGCATCGATGTAGTTTTAATGGTTAAAATTTGGTTCAGGGAGCAATGTACAGGACCACTGTAAGGCAAAAGCGCGGACAAAACTGTCTACAGTGGAGCCGTATTCGTACACTGTACCGTGTAAATCCTGGGCTTTTCGGTGCTACAGCAACACTGTACTACGCGCTCTGTACCCTAGGTGCAGTGACTAAGAGCGGCATCTACAGTAACGCTGTAGATCGTTCTGTATCAGACTCTAATTTTTTGCAGTGTGTCGTAACTTACGGTAAAATTTGTGCCAACAAATGCAAATAAGGTTTTATTTGCAATACAAACAAACGTGATCGCAAAATCGATTCCTGTTTGTAACTACACAAAAGGGAAATTTCTTTAGTTCTGTGGTCTGACCGCTGTGTGACCAGGCCACATGTTCACTGGAATATGGCGTGCAGAGTTGGGGATCAACTCTAAACCGCTTGTATCGAGCTCGGTTCGACAAACAGGTATAGGGAATTCCATAAAAAAAATGTTACGCAAGGGGCAATCAAAGCGAACACAACTTTTTAGCGGGAAACATATTCTTTCAAATCGTTAACGCGGGTGCGCCGTACTGAGTTCTTTTGTAACAGAGGACAAATAAAAAAACAAAACAAACAAAATTACGTGTGATGCGTGAGCTATAAATGCAAAATTTATAGCAGTCTGGCCTCGACAAGGCGTTTTCTTTCATTCGGGTAGCAGTGCAGTCCTGCCCATTCAATGTGCGAGCACCCTTAGCGGTGGCCTAATGGCCGGCCCTCGGGGAGCGCGGGAGAGAGGCAGGGTTATACAGGGAGAGAGAGAGAGAGGGGGGGGGGGAGAGACAGCTGGATTCATTCATGAGCTAGTTGCAGTATAGTTGGCCACGCTGAATTCCGCCAGGGCCCTGCGGTCTGCAGCGAGAGAGGACATCATTCATGTTATTAATCGCTAAAACTCGACGCAAATTTATCAAAGCTCCCCTCTTTTTAGCCCCTCGTTCTCTATTCTTCCTTTCCTCCTTTGTGCGTGTGTGCGTGCGTGTGTGCATGCGAGAGCGGATAAAAAATGAGAAGTGACCGATATGAGAGAGAAAACGAGAGAAAAGAAAGTGAGACACAAGTGAGGAATAGGTGCGAGGAGATGAGGGAGAGTGCAGGAGGAGGGGGCTCGCATCTGCCGAAACGTATGCAAGAAAAAGACCGTACTCCGACTGGGGTACGGGCGCACAGAGTGGGACAGGTGCATATTTAGGGAGAGGGAGGGGTGGGGAGAGAGAGATAGAGAGAGGAGTGGGGTGGGTCAAAAAGGGATGGAGCGGAGAACGTGTTGCTCTCTTGGGCAGCCACCTTCCTTCGCTTTCTCACCCTCCTGCTCCACTATCCCCTTCTCTTGCCAGGCACTCGAGCGAGCGAGAGAGAGAGCGAGAGATAGGAAATAGGTCGGATGCTACCGTCCCGGCGGGCCCAGCGGCGCTCGCAAACGCTTGCAAGCGCTGCCTAGCGCCGCTCTAAATAAATTTCTCACGAGCTTTTTCTCCATCCAATTGGGTACAAACTCACTTTCTCTCTTCCCCCTCCCTGTGGGAGCCACCGCCGCTGGGAGGGAGGTTATAATGTCTACTGAATCACGTGCCAAAACGCGGAAACGCGCGGTTTCAGGAGAAAAAAGGTGGCGGAGTCAAATTGTTTTATCACGATTTATTTTTCGACTTCGCTTTGTATGGGCTTATGTTCAGATTGACTAATTACTATTTGCAGTTTATGCAAAGTTTAATTCATTATCGGGAAATAGAAAATCAATAATAATGCGTTGTTCAATACCAATGTTTTAAACAGCTCGATAACTGTTTTGAACTGAAAATAAAGGAAAAGAAGGGTTTGTGAGCCTCGAAGCGCTTGGACAACGTTGAATTCTGCATTTTTGCCAATATTGTAAGAGCGATGCACGTTTCAATGGTGACGACATGGGTCAGCAACAAAACTGGACAGTGTATTCCAGAACCTTTAGTATTTCCCTTCCACCCCCCCC